ATGGTCTTCTCAGTGTATCCCCAGTCCAGTCCATCTCCATTTTCTTCTGCATATTTGTTGGGCGATAGGTTCTTGGTTGGTTCATTCACAGAGTTCCTTGTTACTTATTCTTTCTGGCCATCTGAGCTTAAGTATCGAGCAAGCGTAGACGGCAGCTGTTGATGAGTGTCCGTAGTTTATTGCAAATGCTTTTCGTAACGCGTCAGGTTTCTAAACCATGTAGAAGCACTGACTTGACTGAATTAGTGTTGAAAATCCGGATCATGTCCACGCTTTATCCTGAGTGCAGCAGATCTCCACACTGGCTTCAGATTGATGGAGTCCTGTCTTGCTGTCTTTCTGATGCTGGCTCTGATGTCCTCATCTGTGCCTGTGCCGCCTGTAGTTGAAGCGATGCTACCTAGGTAAGTGTAGGTGAAATGGACTACTTCCTTAAGGTTTCTCCCATTGATGGTGATTGATGCTTGTTGTTGGTTGGATATCTTCATCATCTCTGTCTTCTCTATATTCACCTGAAGGAAGTCCCATCTTCGCTGCGTCGTCTCTTCTACCAACTTGTTGGTTTTTGCCTGTAGATCTTCGAGTTTGCGTGACATAACACATTAGACATAAATCATCATCGTTGGTGAAATCCAGATCTTCTAGGGTCTTGTCATCGGTGAGACAGAGTATCCCCATCTTCTCGCTCCTCACAATTTCTTGCATGACCCAGTCGACCACAACCAGGAAGATTATAGGTGATAGTCGACGGCAGCCTTGTCTTACTCCTATCTTCACTTCAAATGCGTCACTGAACTTTCCATTGGGTTGTAAAATCCCTTAGCATGTAGCATCATAAAGCATATAGCTGTTGGATGGGGGTTGATAAAGGTTTGTGGTACTACATGGTATTGAAATAGTTGCTAAATTACTTCTTGGCCGATGCTATCGAAGGCCTTTTCGAAGTCGACGAAGTTGAGGTAGAGATCCAGTTGACTGCCATTCTATACTCTGTATTATGATGAGGCGTAGTGTAGCGTTGCAATTTGATCCGCATATGATTTGTTCTTCCTGAATCCAGCAAGCATGTTCCAGTCGTAGTTTGGAATCCAGCGCATCCTTTAGTCTCTCCAGGATCATGCGTCATAATATTCTGCTTTGTGTGGAGAGCAGCATGATTCCGCCACAGTTCTTGTGAAGACTTAGGCCTCTATTGTTTAGGAGTTTGACAAGATAGACCTTCTTCCAATCAATTGGCAGGTACCTTTCCTTCCTTCCAAACATTCTGAAGTAGTGGTGTGAGCATGTCCGCTGTTGTCTCTGAGTCTGTTTCCATCGCTTCTGATGGAATTCCATCTGGTCCTGCTGCTTTCCTGGATTTCAGCAGTTTTATGGCATTCAGGACTTCTGCTTTTGTCGAGGGGCTTGTGTTTACTGATGATAAGTTCTGTGGCTGGGCTGCTGGTGGTATTTCTGAAGGAGTTGCAGGTGGTGGTCGATTCAAGAGCTTTTTGAAGTGGTCAGCCCATTGTTTCCTTTGCTTCTCCTCTTTGGTAACTAGCTTTCCTTCACTATCTTTCATTGGTTTCGTCTGCATCTATTTCTTCCTTACTGCTGACTGAGTTCCCTCCACTATCTTTCACTCGTTTCATTCGTATTGATCTCTTCTCAGATAGTAACCTGGTTATTTGATATAGTGTTGTCGGGTCTCTCCTATCAACAGCCTGTTCTGATTTGTAGGTGCATAGTGTAGTGTTGTATGATTGTGACTTTCCTTCCTTTTGATGGACATATATTTTTGCAGTAATTATAAACACCAAAGTAAATTTTCTGAAAATGATTCTTGGGGAAGAAAATTTCCCCACTGAATTATCTTTTGTTAGTTTCTTTAACGACCATTTGGAACCTTTTTCCATGGTTGAAAGATGGTATGAAAGTCAGAAAGTTTACGTAGGATTCACAACAGGGCTGAGATTAGAGTATCTTTGAAACCTCCGGACTCACTAAGAACCAAGCTTTGCAGTCTATGAAGATCCCACAAGGTCAATTAGACAATATAATTTATTTTATCTAGTTCCATAAAACGATTTTGAGTTCAGATACGTAGGTGGAAGTAGTCGAATGAGGTCAGTTAGAATAACAAAGCAAAAGACCTGACCAAATCTAAAGTGACAGGCACATGATGAGGAACTTAAAGAAAATAAATCTCAGTCATTAGGATGCATACTATCACACATAATGGGATTGGACAAAGTAGTGATGCTAATGACTATAACGACACGATGGAGGGAGAGACTGATAACTGGAACTCTGTCCATCAAATCAACATTGAACACGTATGACAGAAATAACCCAACACCAATTCCATATATGTGAATAGTTCTACTCCCATGTGATAAATGAAGGTGGTGAAGAAATAAAACCATGGGAACATGGTTACGAATATGAACAATAAATTGTGTCCGAAATATTATACAGTAAATAACCCTTTTTTAAACAATACAAGAACAAAGACATTTGTAGGATAAAATGAGCTCATTTTATTGCCCCACCTTTCATCACCTGCAAACAGCTTACAGTTGAAATGAAGTATTAGCAGAAATAACAATACAACATATTTAAAATATGTAGAAATATATAGAGATTTGAAAACCAGGTTTAAAAATAAGGTTATGGGTCAAGGAGACATAGAATGAATAATTATAAAGCTTAATGAAAGCCAATGGAAGTTTATATCTGAGGTTATAGAAAGGGGGAAAGGATAACAAACAAACAACAGAAAAGGTTGTTAAGAAGCAAATGTTTAGTAGCGTATACTTTCGCAAATCATAATAAACATAGAGTTCTTTAGTAATGATGGGCAGTGGCTAGCAGTGGAATCCAAGATGCGCATTTCGTCCTATTTGGGACTCGTCAGCTGGATGTACCTGCTTCCCAGTGAGTGATGTTGTTCCCACTGGGACTCGGGAGCGATCGCTTCAAACGCCAGCGCGTTATCCACTACACCACCGAGCCACGATAGCCACTTCTTGTACGACGGGTATAGGTTTAATGTTATTGCTTGTATTACACCGTCGTTGATTGGACCGAATTGATCAGTCTCTGTTGGCATGTGGGCTCCTATGCGGATGCCTCGATATTGCCTGTCTTTTAACTATGTTTAGTAATGATGGGCAGTGGCTAGCAGTGGAATCCAGGATGTGCATTTTTTTGTTTGTTAATTACCCTGAAGGATCGAGAAACATCTATTTCTTTCTACATATTTAAAGTATGTTATGTCAGTATTACTACTAATTGTAGACTGTTTCCAACTGATAAAAGGCTATGAAATAGAATGAGCTCATTTTATTCTGTAAATGTCTTTGTTTTTGTATTGTTCAAATTTATCAAGGGAAACAAATGTATAATGCTGTTTTCCTGCATGAAATAGTAAGCAAACAATTTAAAAACGAAAACGTACACTATGATAGTAGTGAAGTTCTCTTTCAGATGAACCTCTTTTGAAGTTTTATTTGTTTTTCAAGAAGTTACTTTTTTCATATTAGAAGATACTTTATCTCATGTTCTATTTAAATAGTTGAGATTATCAATTATACATACTGTCAAAGTTTTGGTGAGTTTTATTCACCTGTACAAAAAAACAACGCCTATTGACCTAATTAGTAATCATCTTCGTTGTAGTAATTCTCATGCACTAAGATCAGTTGGAGAACAATTGAAATTTTGAAAACAATAGACAGTTTTTTCGTCCAGCATGAAACTTCTTCAGCTGACAACAGTTCATGATGTATACCACCTTAAAATAAATAAAATCTCCATAGACCTTAGATTAAATAAACTGTCTAATTCCGGTTAGTTGTCACATTATTTATCCATACTGGGGTATACAGTTCATGAGTTATCTTAGGTGAAATGGATTTCAATGGACTTAGCCGTTAATTTTAAATGTTTATTAATTGTAAAATGAGAATTCTTGACGGATAGGGCCAACCAAGTGAAACATAAGAACAACGTTGAATAGAGGTCGCGCTATATCGTGAACTGACAGAAATTGAAAATATGGACCATTGGATTCCAACCCAGTGGCTCAATGACAACGTACTGGCCGTAGGACCTGAAGGTCTTGAGTTCAACCATTGGAAGAGTAGTGGGTGCGCACTACTGAGAGTCCCATACTAAGATGAAACAGCTGCTCAATGAATCCAGGTTTCTAATGTTTCCCCAACTGATATCAGTTGATGATGAATACCAACCTGAAATCAATAAATAAATCCTCGCAAACCACCAAATTGAAATCAATAATAATATCTGTTCTGAGTGTTATAAGCCATAACTACGAAGGTCAACTCTCAAAGTATCTCAACAGCAATATACTACTAAATGTGTAAGTTAGTTGGAAGTAATGGTCATGGCGTTTCGTGCTTGTTGACACTCGTCAGCAAGGCGTATCTGCAACCCTCTCATGAGATTTGAATCCACTTTACCTTTTGTTGGTGTCAGGGAAATTATCATTGAGCAATTCAGATCTTGATTGACCTCCTGAATGTAAACGGTTATTGAAGAGCTATTGAAAACATGAAAAATCGGAATTTTCCAAAATACTATAGTTATGAATTGTATCTTCAGTCTATCAACAAGATTTATACACAGACATGTTGCAACCATAATGAATTAAAAAGGAGATACTTTGCTTTTTCTCTTGAACCTTCAATAAAATGCTTAGAATGATAACTTTTGTTACTTTGTGATAGTTCGTTTGTACTTTAGAGGCAGTTGATGGAAGGATTCTGACAACCAATCACATTCAGGTTCCACTACACTTATCGTCCTCATAAACTAACATCTATCTGTCAAGTAAGGCTATTTCTACTACTTTGATAAATAATTTTTTTATTGATCCGAGATTCTCATCTATTATTGTACAACATTGTGTGTTCACATTTAGGTATAGCATAGGCGAAGCTGATTGGTTAATTCCATATGCACACATATCTATCTCATTAATCATAACAAAAATAAAAATCAACTTGATGAATGGGAGGAAAACAAATTATTAAGCTTTTTATAACACCAATTAATTTCATCTGGTTAGTCGAATGGATGGATTTACGGAAGTCTACTTTATGATTGATAAACGAAGGAAAGGTAAGTTATGTGGACAATAGAGAAGTAAGCAAACTGACCGATCTTTATATTGATGCGTCTTTATAAAGACGAAAGCATCTCTTATGCATGGTTTTTAATTTATTCATGTAGCTGTGTGTATTTTATTATTATTATTTGTCCCTTGGGTTCCTAATGGAACATAGGTCTTCAGTAGCACGTCTCCATTCCATTCTGTTCTCTGAAATTTTTCGAACCTGGTTCTTCCTCGCACCATCTCCTCCATGTCACCCTCACCTAGGACGCCCAACTCGTCGCTTCCCACTTGGGTTCCACTCAAGGTCCTGACTAGTGTTGTCCCCAGTCGGCCTTCTCAGTGTATGGCCTACCCAATCCATCTCCACTTCCTTCCAGTGCATATTTGTTGAGCGATAGGTTGTTGGTTGGTTTGTTGTCAACCAGAGTTCCTTGCTGCTTATTATTTCTGGCCATCTGGGCTTCAGTAACGAGTCAGCGTAGGCAGTTGTTGATCAATGTCTGTAGTTTGTTGGAAATCCCTTTCGTAACACGCCAAGTCTATCAACCATACAGAAGCACTGACTTGACGTTGGTGTTGAAAATTCGGATCTCGTTCATGCTTTATGCTGAGTGCAGGAGATCTCCACACTGGTTTCAGGTAAATGAAGGCCTGTCTTGCTTTCCCGATCCTAGCTGGCTTTGACGTCCTCGTCTGTGCCTGTGCCGCCTGTAGTTGAAACAGTGCTGCCTAGGCGGGTGGGTGAAGGAGGTTACTTCCTTTAAGTTTCTCATGCTGATGGTGATTCGAGCTTGTTGTTGCTATTGTTTTTGGTGATATCGTTTGGGTATCTTCATCACCTCTGTCTTCTCTAGGTTCACCTGAAGGAAGTCCCATCTTCGCTGCCCTGCCTCTTCTGTCAACTTGTTAGTTTTCACCTGTAGATCTTCAAGTTTGTGAAGATTTGTGTATTAGTCGGTTTTAATTGATTTGTTGTTTAAACAGCTTCTTCAATAGTCTAAAAAATGGTAGTGCAATTGTGTTGTTCAAGAAATTCCTTTGATATCATCGTGAACTCTATTTGGTATGAGACAGTTGAAATTAGTCGATTAAAAGCTGTAAATAGAGGATTATTGGGGATTGAAATCATCAGTAAGGCATGTCTGGAACTTCAGCTGAACTCTTCTTTTTCATGATGTTTAAATCCACATATTTTTAGCTGTATACTTGAAGTCCTTATTGTTAAGTTATTTAAACTCTAACTATTCACATATAATTATGACTGACTAAATGTTTATTATTACTTGGTAGACGTAACTTGCTGTTACTATACTGGGTCGTATTGGTCTAGCTCTGTTGACCAATGAATTTCTATACGGATACCTCAATATTGCCTGAATATCTATTGTTGGAATTTACCTGGCGACAGCTAGCAGAGGACGTGAGTTTTGTCTTGTTTGAGACTGTTCAGCTGAATGTACCTCACCCCAGAGTGATGGTTTTCCCACTGAAGCTTCAGCCTCGTGCTCATTGCTTCAAACAACTCGTATCTTAGTAGTCAAGTGACTGGAACTTTGGCGTTTGAATTGACGGCTGCTGGGTTCAAGTTTCATTGAGAGTATCACATCTCACTCTGGTGAAGATGCATCCAGCTGACGAACCCCAAATAGAACGAAAAGCGCGTCGTGAATTTCACTGCTAGCCACCGGCAGGTAAACTAATGTTTGAAAAGTTCTAGTAGCATTTACAAGACGAACTTTGATATGAATATATTTCCTAAAGTCGGTATCAAATGACAGAATACTGGAGGCCAGAGAGTCTCTGATGATTATCCTCATGTTATATTGAGAACTTTATGGACTAGCCTATGATCTACTACTGTGTAGGCTACCATACTATAGTTCAGATGTTGCACTGGTATGAGCTGATAATAATTCTTGGTCGGTAGTATTGGTGAGCACGGATGTTTTCTCTGAGTTGGTTTATTCATAAATATCACCTTATTAGTTTAATCTAGGAAACTTGATCCTTCTGTGATATCCGCAAATAAAACTAGATAGGTGCATAGTGGAACCTTAGTTCTGAATGTTTTTTGTTAGTGATATAGGTTTGTGAAAGTCATACCACCTAAAACAAGTTGCTAAAGTCATAAGTTCGGTGAGAAATGACGTTAATTACGATTTGGTATTCATCTTTGATTGACCTGGTAGCCCTGAGGACAAATACTCGACGATGACATTGGGTGATGGTCGCGCTATATTGTGAACTGACAGAAGTTGGAAATATGGACCACTGAATTCCAACTCAGTTGCTCCATGGTGACGTGCTGATGACGGAACTTGAAGGTGCTGGGTTCAATCCCAGGTGGGGTGGGTTCATGAGTGGGCACTGCTGAGGAGTCCCATACTAGGACGAAGGAGTTTTCCAGTGCTCCTAGGTTTCCAACGTTCCTCCAACTGATGTCAGTTAGTGATCAGTGCCAGCTTGAAGAGTCCCTAAATCCCCACAAAGCCCCGAAGACGTTTTTTTATTTCCACGTTCAAGCAATTATGTAAGTCTGTTATGTATGACTGTTAATCTCATAATATCGCCACATTCGATCAAAAGCAACAGAGTTTATTTCTTGACGAGATGTTCAAATTCTTTTATTTCAAGTTAGTACTCACCACGGACTGAAATCTGTTAGAGAAGTGTTGGAGACTGTTACTCAGCTACGGTAGTGGATGAAGGCCACACGATATCGTGAACTGACAGAAGTATGACGGTGTAGACCATTGGCTCAGTAGCAAAGTTCTCACCACGAAACATAATGGTCCTGAGTTCGACGCCTAACAGTGTCATGGGTGCGCGCTGCTGAGGAGGAGACAAGATGAGACAGTTCTCTAAGGCTCTCAAGTTTTCAACAGTTCTCTTTTTTTCAAACGAATATATTTGCTAACTGTGTTGCCTTTGGAGGTTCATTTAGTGCCATAAAATATCACTGAATGGAAAGGCTATACTTGTACAGAGTAGTAATAAATCTCTTTGTCAAGTCTATCTTTCAGTTTTCGATCAAATCTAATTTTTTTCGAAAACTTCAGTATACTACTACTGAACAACTTGAGTAGTTAGAAAGCACTCATGCTGATGAGTTCAACTCTAAAGGAGCGAAACCATAGTCGTATCTTCTGATCATTTAGATTTGATTGGCTAGAGAAATTCACAGACCAGCCTGAGCGGTTAGTAACTACTCGTTTTGTTCACTAGTAGTATATTTCGCTACTGTACGACACTTTTATTTCAGTGATCATACATTGTGACTTTGGTTGACGGATAGTTCCCAACGGAAACCCTCTTGACTCCAAAGTTGAAAAACTACTCGGCTGTGAGAAATGCCAAAGTTTTTACATCATTTGTAAATTGATTATAGTATTTTACTGAGGGAACCTACAGCTTGCACAAAGGTTGTACTCAGGTTAGTCGAAATAAACGATACGGGAGTTTAGGAAATATTTCATGGCTTCAAGAAGCTCAGAGTAACCAGGCATCCTTTTAAAATAAGAAACAACCTGTTTATGATTTTAGTATACTGCGATTAATTCTATCCACAAGTAACCAGTAGAAGACAATGAAGCTAGATTGATAAGCGTTATTTTGACCGTCATATTTTGTGAAGAAATGGAATCTGACCTCTAGTTAGTTTTAAACTTTTCAGAAATCTCAAACTCATATCATTGCCACATTTATTAACAGTGGATACATACTGCTGAGATCTGTCACATTCTTCAGAAGACAATTCTAATAATGCGTTGGCTCTTTGAGATATCTTTCTTTCAGTTCCTGGTAAATGAGAAGGCATGGTATGTGACGTTTCACTCTCCAAGAATTCCGGTATGCATATGATCTTGACGGAAATTATTCTGATAACACTGTGGCTAGCAGAGGAATCTGGGACTTGCGTTTTCAATAAACCAACAAAGCATTATAAGTATATCAATAAATAGTAGTAAATACTATGCGTTGTACAAGGAGTGGCTAAAGTACGTGCATGGCATAGTGTATAGCGCCTTGGGGTTTGAAGCGATAGGTACGAGGTTCGAGTCCCAGCGGGAACAACACTACTCACTGCGGCACATGTATATCCATCTGACGAATCCCAAATAGGACGAAACGCGCCTCGTGTATTCCTCTGCTAGCCACAACCAACCAAATCACCATAATTAACATTCAGGCAATATTACACCATTGGCATATGAGCCCACATGCAAATAGAGGTCGAACAATTCGATACAATAAAACAACGGAGAATTACAAGTATTTTAATAAATAGTAACACTGAGGATACTCATATTCATTAATATAGGTACTTAGAAACTACAAATTTGTGCTAGACTGTGCAAGTTTGACAGAAAACTACGGAAATCTGTGTTTTTGTTTCATTATTACTGGCTTACTGGTATTCTTTAATCGGAGTAAAATCCTGATATCAAGTCATAGAATAAAATGGTAAGAGAAGCTTATTCAAAAGGGAATTTTCTCTCTGACCACGGTAAGGCTAATCAGTGTGTATTACGTTTTTGAAAGGAAAGATCAAGTTTAATATTATAAATTGTCGATGGTTTGACTATGTATAGGTGGTAATAGTAGAAATCCTTCGGAAGTGTAGAAAGACAATATATAGATGACTTTGAAAGAACTGCTGAAAAGGATCAAGTGTCCAAAGTTGACTAGGTGTTTGAGGATAAACCTGTTTGTATTTCTTCTCTCTCTCCACTGGATATTTAAGCTGATCTAGTGGTGTGTATCGTCAAAGTACATTGCTTCACAAGATCATATCACAAAATCTCAGGCATTATGTTCAAATAACCTTCTATGTCACTCCGTGATATGCATAATCCTATACATAGAAAATAAAGTTAAGAAGGTCAGCTGAGACTAAGAAATCCACTAAATTTTGTTTTCTTCTTACTTGTTACAAATGAGTGTTTAAAAAAAATATCACCCTCAGTACTCTGTACACTTTTCGTCAGGCTGTGCTAACACACGAAATTATCTTATTGGATAGGATAGATTGTGAACATTGAATCTTTACAGTAATATGTCATGGTAAGGTACCCAAGATGTTAAATAGTAAATTCATCCACAAACTTTTGTTTAAGACTAACATTAAAATTGGAAGGAAATCCACTTACCAACTTTGTTCACGTTCGTGGGTTAGACGATGAGCCACACTAGTTGTGTGAAGGCTAATCTCAGTAGGCGAAGCGGATGGAAATCAACTGTCTAGATCAGTGAACTACAGCTGTAATAAAGACGCACCTCAGCTATATACAATGTCACTTGTCATTAGAAGATCAGAGGCCACTAACAATGATCAATTATTGTCAACGAAAGGATGTGACGTTCAGCTGATAGAAACATTTGATTGATGGAAAGACTGGTCATAGGGTTTATTTGTTCAATGCAGTTGTTGTTTCAGGGGATAAAAAACGCCTAAAAACTACACACTCAAACTAGCTTGTAAAGTTTTACCATTTGTCTAGATTTTGACAGAAGGTAACAACCTTACTCATGAAAACCCAAGGTTATTCAGCAATAGGACTGTCAAAATCTTGTATTGGCCTCGCAAAGTCAGTTTTAAAGCAAACCAATTCTTCTCCTTGTTGTTGTTGTTGTTGTTGTTGACAGGAGAACTTTAATCCTTTAGTTTTCTGGCTTCAATAAATACCCGTGCTTTGGGCATGCAAAATATCATCCACTATGTTTTACTTATTCAGTATGCTTCAGTAAAATGAAGTTTGTTTAACTGTTCTATCGTGGAAATATGTTCGATTATGTAACTTAGCTCTATTCAGGAAATCACTCATTTGTATTAATGACGCATAGTGGATAGCAGTGAAGTCCAGGAGATGCGTTTCGTCCCATTTGGGAGTCATCAGTCGGATGTGACTGCCTCCCAGTGAGCGACGCTGATCCTACTTAAACACAAACTGGGTACCGATCGCTTCAAACGTCATAGCGTTATCCACCAAGCCACCGAGTTACCGGTAACATTAAATGAGATGAAGTTTTTTTTACTCTTCTACTACTGGAAGATGTTGGATTGATTATGCAACTTAGCACCATCCAGAAAATCATTCATTTGACTATGAATATTTCAAGTAGCTTACATAATGTCTTCAAACATCATTCACTCTGAAAATTTGTATGCATGCATACTTCAGATAGATTACTAAACCATTCAGTCAGTCAAACCTTTGTGTTGTTGGATTTACCATCCTTTTTTCGTGGATTTTTTGTTAGTATGTTGGCAGAAAATAACTAAATATCTTAAAAACGAGTCCAGTTCACTCATCCATTAATGAATGGAGTAAAAAAACACAGTAGAAGAGATACACATCCATGACTGTTGACTGTGAGATAACTTTTCCTCAAACAAGTTCAACCTAAATCATGAAATTCTATCCAAATCGGTGGTTGAATTTATAAGCCGCTAGTTAATTGTGTCTTAATAAACTCAGTGATAATTAGTGTTTTTTTCGGCTTGAATACATTCACATTCATGAATATACTTCACCTTGACGCTGCTGTTAATATCTAAAATGCGTCTGCAATTCCCCAGTTTTTATAGAAAATGAATTCTGAGTTGCACCATAGGATGAGATTGTATACCGTCCCAGTTTTAAAAAAGTCTAGATATGTATTCTATTCTCTCCTGAAAACCAATGTATAAATATCCGTTCAAATGTTGGATATGTGTCATACTGTGAATTCTAAGTTGATATTCATGATGAATTGATATCAATTGGATAACCACTAAAAATTTAGGAGGGCTAGAGAGCTTCTTCTTCTTCCTAGTATGGGACTCCTCAGCAGCGAGCACCCATGACTCTGTGAGGGGTCAAACCCAGGACCTTCAGGTTTATGGCCAGCACCTACCATTGAATCACTGGGTCTATTGTCGTCGTGTTTTTGTATTCCAGGCACTCCTATCCTAAATATAATTGTCATAATCTCAAGTCAGTCCCACCCGGTTGTAAACGAGTAGTTTGAAAGTATTCTTCAACTGCTGATAGTGGGAGTTACGCCTAGCCTACAGTGAGAGTCATTGTATGATTCCAAGAAAAGTATTCTTCTCAGATTTCACCATGTAGTCTAACTGCATAATTTCTAACTGAAGTGATCGACTCAAATAGATAGACTTTCCCCTTTAAATCTTAGATGTTCAACAGCGGATTACACATGAACATCAATGAATCCTTTATGTACTTTAACCAGTATATATTCATCTTAGTAAACCATTTCAAAATGTCACTCAGATTATTCAGCAACTATAAGGAAACCTTTAGATATTCAGTGGTATAGTGGCCTTATGATAAGTAAAGACCTGGTACCAAATAACCTTCTTTCTGACCCTATCTTCATTCAGTATGGTTTTCAAATTGTTACACAACTACTCAGCATGAATAATGATGTGAATTCTACGATAAGCACCTGGTACTTTTGGCTTTATGTCATTGTTAGCCATCTGAATGCGTTGCGTCAATACATTAAGGTCACTAGTTACTCTTTGATAGCAATTGAGGAAAACTGATGTATACATAAACCGGCTTTGAAACGAATACATAGATTGTTTGAATATTTACGTGTTCATGACAAAACCTGATGGTAGTCAGCTCTGATCCTGAAGAAAACTGCTGATAAATACAGTTGGAGAGAGTTATTGCTTTCTGATTTCCAGAGATCCTTTGTTTTACATAAATCCTTCATGTAGAGGGATACTTGAAACTGAAATTTATTTGGCAAATATCTGTCGAATTTCTACAGAAAACATACTAATAGAACTGTTCATATGTTTCATTTTCCTTTTTTAGGCTGGATTACTATGCCAGAGCTGCGTAAGTACGTAGAAGACAATGACGTAGAGGATACAATGCTTGATGTAAGTCACAATTCTCATTAATGTCTAAATCATTACCATTGATAGTGAATATGAATTAACCACCAGATTCCTCTAAAGAAAGCAAATACAGTTGGAAAGATAGTCATATTGTTATTGCACATTGATGAGTCACTAGAGGGTAATCAATTTCATGTTATCAAGTCTAAGTGCGGGGCATCATTTTCATAGAGGTTCCAAGTAAGTCTAGGTGACGAGTGCCAACAAGTACAAAACCTAGAAGCAAAGTTTTCTAAGTATTATCTCCATCCAATTAACGTCTGTCTCAGTTTATTGCGACTATTCACCTCATAGCCTGGTAGTTAAATTGAAAAAATGATCAACAGAATTTCATCATCACTCCAGAATAGACAACATTAAATTGTTCTCTAGTGACTAATCAATGAACCTAATTCAGTCTTTCGGGAGGCTAGTCACAGCTTGAATGGCTAAGTGGTAAGATTTCTGACTGTAGCAATGAGTGATGCGGGTGTGAATCTCAGGGGAGACATCAGCTCCTTCGACGTCGAGGACACTGTAATCCTGTAGAACATTAGATCGGGCATTACCTATTGATTTGTATTCTCTGCCCGTTAAATCTATACATTTGATGCCTTGTAAATATTACGTACTGTTGGTGTGGTTTCATCTTAACAATCGGTGGTTTCCTCAAATGGATAAATTATTGTATTACTTGTGATTGTTACAAACATAGTAACATTACTAAACTATTAAAGTAGACGTTAACACTGCCGTCTGTTAGATAAATGCCAATCACCCAATGCAATCTGATGACGGAATGCTTAAGAACAGTTAACAAAGCTTATACAATACAGAAAGGTATTAAATGATATGATTTATCCAAGCAACTGGTTCCTGTTTTAAGCTTTATAACCTTATAAATGTTTTACAACCGATAATTTAAACAAAATGAAAATATGATATCATACTCGACGTTGAATGTTTTTAGATAATCGACTGGAAGTCATATAGTTTTATCTTCGAAAGTGATTCCCATCATATATATGTTGTTATTCTTTGAAGAAGATAAAATCCTTCCTGTATAATGAAAACTATTAAAGTTCTTATTGACACTTGTGAATAGTACTAACTTGGTTCAGCGTTAACAATAACTAAGTGTGAAGTTTAGGACTACGCAAATGAATTACAGTGTTTGAAGTAACCTCAGCAACGAACTGACACCTTTTTCTCGACCTGTCGTTATCAATGATGCTTATTGATATTTCTGAAGGCCGATAGTTGACTAAGCAAACGTGCAGCTTCAAAACCAGCTTGCTTCACACCTATAATAACGAACAAAGGTAAACCTTATCTATAGGACATTTTATCCACTACTTTCAAATATACAAATTACTATCCTGTTTCTTCATCTGTTCTACCTTGTTTACTGATTCTGTGTGTTTGTATGTGTTTCTTTTAAAATTTATCACAGCGTTGGCAAACTTTATTCGATCCAGAATCTACAGGTCGTATAACACTGGAGAAATTCTGTGATGTATTAGGCTTACAAAAAGACGTTATGTAAGTCATTCAAGCCAATATTTACAGCTAACGAAATAATCTTCATTCACTTTCTACTAGAAATGATCGATACGCTATTAAAGGAGATGAGTTACACGATGTAGCCATCATTCAATCAGATATGCCGACTAAAATGAAACTGACAATATGCGGACTTGTCGATGAAGGGATATTAATTCATTCTGATGATAATGTAAGATATTTCATGTTATTGTGTTGATGAATCCTCTTTGGATTGATCATATATCTGTTCATTTGGTCAACCAAGATGTAAATGTTCACATTTTCACCCTCTTCTTTGATTATTTTTGCGTATCACTGGCATGATTCCGAACCCTCCTTAATTATAGTTAATGACCTTGTTCGTATTGATTTGGAATTCACCACGCGCGTTTCATCCAATTTGAGACTCTTCAGCTACATGTACCAGCATTCCAGTTATTGATGCTGCTCTTACTCAGACTCTAACCTAGTACCTATCACTTCGAACGTCTGAGCGTTATCCACTGAACCACTGAGGCATCAAAGACACCTCTTGTGAGACGAATATCATTGCTTCTTGATGGGTCCTTGTTTTGCGTCTCAATGAGGTCAATATAACTCACTGGGATGTATGCATATTCAGCTGATGAGTAGCAAACAGAATAAAATGCATGTTGTTGATTCCTACTGCAAGTCAGCATGCAAAAAACAACCATAATACGTGTGAAGCTTGTTCACTTATTTACGTGTAATCCTGTACATACTTAATGGGCGTCTGGTGTGTTTGTTTTTTTCTTGGCATGATCACAAAACTATTCATCTCTTTGCAAAATTCTATGAGATTGCGTTTTTGCAAAACATTGATACTGTTGATTTCTATGCAAAATACTTTAAAACAATTAAAAAAGTGGTTTCATTGAATGATGCTTCATTCCTTAAGTTATTTCACTTTGAATGAATAATAGTCATAATATTTTTAATAAGTGTTATACTACTCATACAGTCAGTAAGTAGAAAAATAAAGATGCCTATGGAGCAAGATTGTTTGCGAAAGTCAAAGTATGCATAATACTTGCCTAAAATAGCTTAAACGTATCAAGATTACATCTTATTGTCAGTATGACTAACAATTGCACAATACAGTACAGAAAGTCTTTAATGTTTTCTCAACTTTGAAAAGAAAATAAGATGTAAATGTCATGTGAATGGCTGTCAATTTTGAATTAATAAATACTTCATATTAAATGAAGTAAATATTTTATTTTACTGGTGTCATAGCTTGTAATTTCTCGTTGTTGATTGGACAGAATCGATCGATCGGTAACTGCTGACATATTGTCTCCACTGCTAGTCACTGTTCATCAATAACATCTCAACTGGAAATCCCGAAAATATGGAGGCATCCACTTGGAAGTCCATATGCCAGTAGTGGCCGATTAGTTCGGTTCACTCAACAACAAGAAGCAATAGGCTGTAACATTTTAACTTTGTGATAACCTTAGCACAAACAGTGCCTGTTATGATTCTGCTACCTAATAGATAATCCTATGGTATTTGAGGTGATTGGTCGGGAGTCGGAGTTCCAGTGAGATCACTACCACTCACTGTCTTGCTAATTCATCCAGCTGACGAGTCCCAAATAGGACGAAACGCGCGTCCTGGATTCCCATCTCGAGGTTCTTGTTGTGAGGTGACCGATACCCCTGCTGTGTGTAAGTGACGAATCCACACTCCATTTTAGGGTTTTTCGGCTTCATTTTCTGCATGCTTTTGAAGGGAGACTCTGGTGAATTATTATGACCTCAGGTGACAAAATGGTCAATGATATAGCTGTTGGTCATATTCAGTCAAGCTGTTGATGAAGAAAGCTAACATATCTCTTCAAAGATCAGTGTACAGGGAATCAACTCAGAAAAGAAACCCTGACTTTTTAAAGCACTGAGGTGAAAAGTGAACTTGTTTTATTCACTTATCATGAATATTAGAAGAATCTGTGTGAGTGGTACCTTGAATAAATGGTTGAAATCACTTCGAAACTCAATCCTCATAAACGGGTACCATAAAACGTCCATTGGAAAGAATATGCAGCTAAGGCAACATTAAAGGCAAGTTCTTATTTCTCCTAAGGAGATTATGTGCATAGAACTTGGATTGAAAAGAGATCATATTGAAGAACTGCTCATTATTTCATTGTCTAAAACAGTCAGAGGAGAAATCCTTCCTTTTGGAAAAAGTGATATATCTTTCTCATTCATTAATTGATTGGTGAAGGCATAAAGGACTATGTTATATTCATGTGTTAACCCAACCGCCAATTCATGTACATTTTTGTCTTGCTGTAATTGTTTTAAGCCTATGCTTCGACTTATTCAGTATTAATGGTGACCTTGAACGTGATTGGTCTTGAGCACACTTGCCCAGTCTTGTATACTCAATTCACCCAGACGATGAGTCACGCAATTCTGCCTTTCAAACTACTCACAACGGAGCATAAAGTCTGGTACTTATTGTCTGTATATCTGAGCGATATCATTCATCTATATATAAATATATAACTATATTACTTTACCACAACATACCATAATTTATGAAAACGAAACAATTGATTTGAGGCACAAAATTGGGGTAATACGTACAGGTGGGTTTCACTCAACATCCATTTACTTTCAAAATATAGGTCGTACATAAACAATCGAGAAGTCAATAGGAAGCTCTTGAAGCGAGCTATGTAGTTATGTTGCCAGTTAATCTGATATAACAGACTAACAATCACGTTAGGCCATATCACTCTGTGTCTAGTTGGTTACTAGCTATTATGGAACCGATTACTTCATCTTCAAAAAGTGCAATTTTTCCAGATGCATATTTGAGCACTACAACACTAACTCAAAGAAAAATGTAAGTCAATGAACAGCTCCATCATTGATCACTTTGTCACCTAGCGTCATACTAATTCACTAGGATCTTTTTTCGAAATCATATACAAAGTGAAATCAAACACAACCCTAAAAGGAGTGTAGGTTGGCCATTTATGTATGGCACGAGTGTTAGTAACCTCACAAGTAGAATCTCAGCCGTATGTTCAAAGGGGTGTAAACTCAATGTCATATTTTTTTGGTCATCATAATGTTTCCTTCAATTCTTCCTTTCCTCAATATTCTTATTCTTATTGTTATTATTACTAATTCGGGAACTATTTTCTCCCTTGAAGCGTGTGATAACTAGCTTCTTATGTAGATTATAGTAATTTAGGGTGGATGTTACAAATCTAGTGTTTCAACCAGAAATTCCAAAGTTATTCGAATAATTCATGACATCATTCTATTATTATTAGTACATGAACTGAAAGTTGGCTTTCAGAAGTTACTAATTGATAACTGAAGTGAACAAGTGGAATAAAATGTAGGTAATAACAATACTGAACGCAGTGGTATAATAGAACTGAATGCCAATATGACTATTCCCCCTCCTGTCAGCACCTTATTCTTCACTGAGTCATGTAACATATCAAAAGAAAAAGGTTGACCTGTGACTGCAAAGACGACAACGACTTTATTTGATAAACTGTAGCATATATATACACTTCAAGGATAGAATAGCATAATCTGATTGGCTACCGAATCGTCCAATAAAGTTGTTCTATCCATATATAGACATAAATGAAAATCTGAAACAAAGCACTTTTACCCCAATGTCTGGTGGCCTTGAACGCTGATTACCATATTTGGCCACTTCCTATCAATAACTCAAGCAGTCATGTGTTCTAGTAAGAAGATATAACATCATTTTCACTCCACTTCGGTAAGCTGTTGAATGTCTATGGTTGACTGAAGTTCAAAATAGCATTCTTTGGAAGTGGATCTAGCTATTCTTTGTAACTTTAACTTATGCGTTGACACAATCACTGTAGTGATTATCGGTAGCTTACTACACACTAAACTAGGCGGTTCGACGCAAAACCTGGTGTCATAATGTGACGTAATTGATTTTGTGTAATCGTATGATGACTGTTTCTGTGATCTAACGGAATAAAAATCAAAAGGCTGAATTTCTCCCCTTATAACAGTGTCACGACTTTAAAAGAAAACAGCGACGAATGTATGAAAGGTATAACTAAGATAAAACAATTATGAAATGAAATGAGAACCTAGATCACTGTAGGATTCTCATCGATGACCTCTGAGTAACCGCCCTAGTGCTCTACCAACTAAGCTAAGAGATCCAGCTGCTGACTAAATTTTAAGATCACTCAAATCTCCAAGGTTTTTTGACCTGCTGCTGTATGAATCCATAATCCGTAATTGTCCGTTTATCATTACCACAGTAGCTACCCAGACAGATTTTCTCGTCTCAGTTGAAATGAAAGTGGATTAGAGAGGCTTAACATCATATTGATTATCAAAAAAGGCTATTTGAGATAGCCGTAGTTTTGGTAAATGGTTTGAGTTATTGTTATATTTCCTCATGCTAATAGTTATATATTCCGAACGAATATAATACGCACGCTTAGTTGACAGCTGCTAACTTAGTACGCAGGAACCACCGACTGCAACCCCTGGGCGAATAGAGAGAAGACCGAAGCTGGCAGATGGGAGAGTTTATTATTCCAAAAATAAAATAAATCAATCCAAAACACGTGAATACGTATACACATGAAAAATGATCATCCTCAATTTGAGACATATGCATAGTATGAGAGTAAAAATTAACCAATCAGCGATTCGCATTACAACAATGGGGGCAGAACAGGTTCAAAAGATTTCAGAGAACAGAGTACACTGGAGACGTGCTACTGAAGCCCTATGTTCCATTAGGAACCCAAAGAACTAATAATAATAAATAATAATGGGGGCAGAATAACCTCGCCTGGTTAACTAGTTTACTAGTTACTAGCCGGTCCTAAGCCCGGGTAAAGAGGGAAGGTTGGGCATAGGGCTAGCAACCCTACCCCGTAAAACAAATCTAACCGCTAAACAAACTTCAAAGCACAAACAAAATATAAAAAATGAAAACAAACTTATTCCCCGCTGGAATCGGAGAGGCGAAATGACGCCAGTTGGTGAAAGCCTTCGGGAAGCCAATTGGCCGATGTGTCTTCTCTCGATGAAAGCGAAAGTAAACGTGGGGACATGGAATGTTCGCACGATGTTTGAACCCAGTAAGGCAGCCCAGATTGCAAAGGAGATGAGAAGGTATAACATCGAAGTGCTTGGGATTTGCGAAAGCAGATGGAATGGGAGTGGACTCTCCAAACTGTCAACTGGAGAATCAATAATCTACTCCGGTCACCCAGACGACAACCACGAGCACACTGAGTTATGGAGTGGCTATCATGATGTCCTCAAGAGCATCGAAGGCTCTCATGCAGTGGGAACCAATCTCCTCCCAGGATCATGACAGCAAGATTCAACTCAAAAGGAAGGAAGAAAGGTCACAATCATACAATGCTACGCTATGCACCTACAAATAATGCAGAGCAAGAGAAAAAGGAGGAATTATACAGACAACTTCAATCAACACTGGACAAGACGTCAGTTGGCGATATCAAAATTCTAATGGGCGACATGAATGCCAAACTGGGAGGGGACAACACGGGAAGAGAACTAACCATGGGTCGAGAGGCGCTAGGTGAAATGAATGAGAATGGAGAATTGTTTGCAGAATTCTGTGCATTCAACGATTTGGTGATTGGAGGCAGTGTGTTCAGGCACAAGGATATCCACAAAGCGACATGGACTTCACCAGATGGACACACTAAAAATCAAATCGACTTTATCTCAATCTCAAGAAAATGGAGACGCAGTCTACTTAACACAAGGTCAAGAAGAGGAGCAGATGTAGGTTCAGACCACTATCTAGTGCAAGGAACCTTCCAAATCAAGTTAAAAGCCTTCAAGGAAGCTGGTGATAGATCTCAATTCAAGTACAACACTCGGAAACTGAAGGATGAAACTACAAAGGAGATCTTCACGTCAGCAGCCATCAAGACAAAATGGGAGATATCGAGCAACATCCCTGAAGACACCTGTATGGAAGAACACTGGAAGTCTTTGAAAGCTATGTGGAAAGAAACCTGCACAACAGTATTAGGAAGGAAGAAGAAAGAAGACAAGGAATGGATCTCGACGGATACCTGGAAGCTGATAGAGGGAGAGGAGGATGGTGAAGCAGAAGATAAACCAGTGCAAGGATGCTCAACGACAAGAGGAACTGAGCACAATGTATAAAACACTGGATAAAGAAGTGAAGAAGAGTGCACGCAAAGACAAACGACACTTCTACGACACACTGGCAAGTGAAGCAGAACAGGCTGCAGGTAAGAGAGACCTGACGACATTGTATCAAATAACCAGGTTGCTATCAGGGAAGAGACCAACACAGATGAAACCAATAAAAGATGAAGAAGGAAATTTAATTACAAAAGAAGAGAAACAGAGGAAACGATGGGCCGACCACTTCAAGAAGCTCTTGAATCGACCACCACCTGCACTTCGTCCAGAAATACCACCTACACCCGCTGAATTACAAGTGAACATAAATCCCCCAACGAAAATGGAAGTCCTGAACGCCATAAAGCTACTGAAATGCGGGAAAGCAGCAGGACCAGATGGAATACCGCCAGAAGCACTGAGAACAGATGCAGAGACAACAGCGGACATGCTCACACCACTATTGCAGAAGGTGTGGAGGGAAGAGAAGGTACCTGACGATTGGAAGAAGGGTTACCTTGTCAAACTGCCGAAGAAGGGAGACCTCAGTGCTTGCAAGAACTGGCGCGGAATCACTCTCCTATCCACCCCAAGTAAAATATTAAGCCGCATCATCCTGGAGAGGCTTAAAGACGCACTGGATTCAAAACTACGACCGGAACAGGCAGGCTTCAGGAAGTACAAATCATGTGCTGACCAAATTGCAACGCTTCGTATCATCATAGAACAGAGCGTAGAATGGCAATCAGCTCTCTACCTCAACTTCATCGACTTTGAGAAGGCCTTTGACAGCGTCGACCGAGAAGTAATTTGGAAACTGCTTCAATACTACGGAGTACCGCAAACCTTTATCCGCCTCATTCAACAACTATATGAAGATGCCACATGCCAAGTAATCCACAATGGGAAGCTCAGTGATGCCTTTGAAGTGAAGACAGGAGTGAAACAAGGTTGCCTACTATCCCCCATGATATTCCTTATTGTGGTGGACTGGATCATGCAGCAAACAGTAGGCAGCGAGAAGAGGGGGATACACTGGACTGCGGAAAAGAACCTAGAAGACTTGGATTTCGCCGATGACTTATGCCTAATGTCACATAAACTTGAAGATCTGCAGGCAAAAACTAACAAGTTGACAGAAGAGGCAGCTAAGACGGGACTTCAGGTGAATATAGAGAAGACAGAAGTGATGAAGATACCGCACCACCACCATCAACAACAACAACAACAAACTCCAATCACCGTCAACGGGAGAAACTTGAAGGAAGTAACCTCCTTCACTTATCTAGGAAGCACTGTTTCAACTACAGGCGGGACGGACGAGGACGTCAAAGTCAGAATCGGAAAAGCAAGACAGGCGTTCATTAGCCTGAAACCAGTGTGGAGATCTTCTGCACTCAGCATGTGGAACAAGATACGGATTTTCAACACCAACTCAGTCAAGTCAGTGCTCTTGTATGGCTCAGAGACTTGGCGCGTCACGAAAGGGATTTCCAATAAACTACAGACATTCATCAACAACTGCTTACGCTCGCTACTGAAGACCAGATGAGATGGCCAGAAAGAATAAGCAACAAGGAACTCTGGGAACGAACCAACCAAGAACCTATCACGCAACAAATATGCAGGAAGAAGTGGAGATGGATTGGCCATGCACTGAGAAGGCCGACTGAGGACATCACGCGTCAGGCCAGTTGCTCGAGTGGAATCCCCATGGGAAGCGACGAGTTGGACGTCCGAGGGTGACATGGAGGAGGTCGTGCGAGCAGGAAATGAGAGCTTCTGGGCTGTCGTGGGACCAGGTTCAAAAGATCTCAGAGAACAGAGGTCACTGGAGGCGTGCTAGTGAAGCCCTATGTTCCACTAGGAACCCAAGGGACTAATAATAAAAATAATAATAATAATGGGGGCAGAAAATAGACTACTAGTCATACCGTAAAAGAAATGGTGTGGGAATGACACGTTAAAATGTTCAGATGAATAACAATGTTTTATACAAAACTGGGGCATCACAACAGTTATGCCATAACCCAAGTTCTTATTTCACTTTCAGTCATCACTCCGTATCAGTAATACCGGTCTGGCAAACGACGACTATCTCAGATAATCTTAGTGATAAAGTTTTACAGTTTAGTAGGATATAATAAAAATGCCACTCAGTGTTCTCTGACTTCCAGAAGTTACTCCTAGTTGTCATCAATATTTCATAAAAACAGTTCTCAAGTTTAACACAATTTCCTATTGCACTAAAACTATGTTATACTTTTTTTTTACTGTCTTTTTATTCCCTTTAGAAATTAGTTGAATACTTGAAAAAGCAATTGGATAGATATTATGGAAAACTATGGAATGTTGTTATAGTCTACGGTCGATATTATTCACACTATTGTCATGAAACTGGTTATAACTTTTGTTTCATTAAAGATGATCGCGTATTCCTGGTGTTCAGAATTCCAGAAGTGAATCAATAAACGAAGAATTATGACGAAATGCAACTGCCTCACGCACAAAATATTTCAGTAGTATTTATGCACACAAAATAATAAAATAAACGTTTACTTTTCTAATTTAGGATCTTTTTTCATTCTCTGACAAATGAAGTCATCCTACAAACATATTGATCATTGAATGATAGTCGAATTCGCGCTGTCTTTTGTTTTATCGATTGAAGTTTAGTAAAGAATTTGGCGATTATTCTAACAAGTTCAATTTAATAATTCGCTATATTTAATTATGAATGGGTTGAACCAAATGAAAAATCAGTCCACACTTGAGATTGCCACTTACTATTACTCATCATCAGTATTAGTCCAATACTTTGAAGAAGTTGAAATTCTCTTGCACGATCATCGGTGTACAACTTCGATAGTAATGTCTTGAACTACTTGGCGACAAGTTAAATCGTCGATTACAAGTGAGTTCTGCTCACAGTATGTGCAGTTTCAAAAGTTTGGCTTTAGTGATTTCGTACGGAAATAAAAACGTCTCACACTGCTTCGTCCTGTTGTGAATTACGGAATAGTCATTGTTTTTTTTAAGTGTCTAGCTTTATTCCCCTATTCCGAAGGTTTATTTGAGTATATGGAAAACATTTTCAACTTTTATGCATTGACGAAACATGTTATCAAGTATACAACAGTTTATGAAGTTTTGAAATGCAAATATGAGGCACTGAATCCTAGGTGTTTGACTAAGTTGCTTGCTCTTCTAACTTGAGTCTTCAGAAAGAAAATTATGAGTTTTACTGTAGAAATCACTTGCAGGTCAACTTTATTCCTAACTAATATTTGATTTCTCAATCTCTTGTGACAGTCTTGAACCGTGTAATGAAAACTTCTTATCTGGAAAATTTACTACTAAAATATGTCTAGTTTGTCAGGACATAATTTTATCCCTGAATTTACAGAGATGCTGAGATAAGAGCACCAATCGAAATAACATCAGACTTGTATAATCACTCAGTTTCTTCGAAATACGACTGAATATTACGATTTACAAAAAACATGTACAAGTGACTTTAAATTATCTCTCTCTGCCCAACAAAGTTTGGAAGACGTTTGCAATGTTCTTCTTTTGTTGCACAGAAGCGCTTGTCACGGATAACATATAGTAACAAATGGTTACCTCTTTGGACAAGTATACTTATATCGTGAGCTACATATGAACAGATTTCACTCAGTAACTCTTTTTCGAAATATGCCCGACCCCCACCAAAATACTGATGAGATTGAGAGAAAAAACTGTTCCATCTAAATAATGATGGTTGTCATTAAGAATAGAAACCAGGATTGAAAGAAAAGAATGCAAACAGCTGGCTACATGTGTATATGAATGTCCGTTAAGTGATTCACATCCCTAAATAAATTTACACTTTTGAAATACACACACGCGAAACTACTTACAAATTAGTAAGTAGACAAAGAATAGCTCATGAAAACTCGGAAGGGTAGTGTTACTTTCTCAGAATGCAGGTTTACATTTAATTGAACAAAGAAACCTGAGTGGAAGTATGCCGCCATAATACTAAGGTCTTCGACAAACTCATCATCAAGGCCGTCTTTGACTAATCATCTGTAATACATCATTTGCTGCAGATTCAGTAACAAGGTAATGCCTACAACATGTTCTCCAGTGGTTAAATTCAGCCTTCAAGTGAACAGAACTGGAATTCTTGAGGTAAATGTTCTTCATTTAAGATTATTCGACTGAAGTGAAGTGTTCCAAAGGGTAGGTGTAAGTGCTGAGCCGATCTTGGTTCAAATGGAGCGAACACTTTGTCACGCTGGGAAGTAAGTACCACCTTATTCCATAATTCTCATTGCTGATGGAGTTGTGTAGATAAGTTTTATTGTTTAGCAGCCGTAGATACCATATAGTAGTTTTATTTCAAATTCTGAAAAGCTGTTGGGAAGACTTCCTAGTCCAGAGTATTATGCTTATAAGCACCCCTCATTCCTTATCTTATTCTTAACTTAATCGGGATGGAATAGCTGCCTACATACAAGGCAGCAATGCATAATCAGTTAAGCATAAAAGGATCTATTTTAATCATTTTAGTGATACGCTAAATTTATGAGGTCTTTGCAAAGCTTTGAACCTATACAGTCCTCTATAATCGCTTGGATCTGTTGTCTTTCTCTTACTTTACATTTGTTAATGTTTATGTTGGATCTTAATGTGTGGGTGTATGTGACATTGGTTTTCAGTCCCCCAGAAAACCTAAAATATCGCTTATCATCTATGCATAAAGTAAATGAGAGCGGAATCCTTACTCAGTAACCTGTGATTATTCATAAATACATTTTTGCCAATTTGACTACATCTGTTCAGGTTTTAGTCGGTTGGTTAGTTACTATATAAAACGTAGGACATCCTGGTAAGTAAGAGGACGATGACTGGGGATTAAGCTTCTGAAACATAATGAAATGAATAAATTTAAAAGTAAGAGAATGTGCTTATAAATCAGTTGATATAAATGAATGTGCAAGTTTACTTTTATATCAATGATTTCAGTTGCGCTGTATTCTACTTTAGACGAAAACGCTGATCAAAGAAGTGATGAAGAAGACTGAGTGAATAATTCTCTGACATTAGTGTTGAATAATAATGATACTACTACTACTACTACTACTACTACTACTACTACTACTACTACTACTACTACTACTACTACTACTACTACTACTACTATTACTACTACTACTACCACTACTACTATTACTACTACTATTACTACTACTGCTACTATTAATAATAATGGCTTTATTCTGAAAGGTATTTCGGGAATACTCTACAGACTATTCAGGATATCATACAGCATCGATTGGACAGAAATAGTGTATATGTGTACATAGCGAAAAAAATAAGAATATTTACTCCATCTACAGCTTTCTTGAAAATGCACAGTTGACTTAGGTTTGCAGTCACATTAGCAATTAGATTCATAATATATAAATAGTAAAATGCTTATCATCAAGTAGGTTGCTTTGAAAAACAAAGTAATTTAGCGGAGAAAAATTTTTTTTAGACAAACCATTTTCAGCAGCTGTACAAACATATTTGTAGTAATAATAAACAAGTAGATTAGTCTATCATTAGACGGCCTTCTCTAGTCAACAGCTGATTCAGGGTAGTGCGAAGAATAGACTGCCACTTTAGGCCACATTCATATGTGTCGGTCAGTTTACTTACTCTTGTAGAGCTGGTTATGTGGGCTACACAAAGTGCAGCCTTTCGGAAAGCATCTCCAAACACTATTCTGCATAACCGTCCACAGGATAACACAAGTTGAACAACAGTTCCATATTGGATTGGTCATGTTGTTTCCCCCACAGTCTTCTTTTAAAATCCTATACAAAGTAAAGCCAAAACGGCTCGAAAGCAGTGAGGATTCGTTGGCAGGCTAACTATTAAAGCCTAAGCTCTGAGTACAAAAGTGGTACGCCCATCTCATTAGTTTGCCGTAGTCATAATTCTTCCTTGAGTTTCTTTACTGCCTTAATATTAACCTTACACTTACTAACTGATTATTATTACTTTTTGTTTTTAATTTGCAATCGACTTTCCCACATCTTAACATGTTAGCTCGAATCTTGCATTGAAATTCTCATAATCCTTTACTCCGATTATTGATTACAATTAGTATTATTAGTTTTGACTTGTTTATTATTTGGCCTAGTGGTCATCACGTTAGTCTACTGCGAATTTTCCTTAAACATACTGATTATGTAACCCCTTTCTAAATCAAGGAACGACCTGCTATTTTACCCTAGAATATTCCGTTTTGGTGACCTAATGTTGACTTATTAGCCAGTAAGAAACTAATCTGTTTGTTTATTAGTACTATCAATACAATTGTACAATTGGTGAAAAACGATTCTTCGAAAAGAAAACTGGCTTCTCTGGATTTCTTTGTGTTTTTCATGTCATATTTTGTACTAATCAGTTACTTGACAAAATACAATCTTGATATCTACTATGATAGTTGACTTGGTTTTGGCTAGTAGAGGAATCCGGTAGACGCATTTCATCCTATTTAGTACTCGTACCTGCACCCCAGTGAATGATGTTGTTCCCAGTGAAACTCGAACTTCGTACCCATCTGGATAGGAAGTCTTCTACCAACTGAGATCGAATAATTTGATCCAGTATAACAATGCAGAATTACAAGTGCATCAATAAATAGTAACTTGAAATTCACCGTTAGTTTCCCTTCTTCCATACTGTAGACATTCACTTATTATGTCTAATCACTAATCAGTTGACAATTAGAGTGTCCACTCAACTTATCACTCCAATTAGCGTACCTACAAATATGTTACACTGCCATCCACAAGATTAAGCAGTCGAATTATAATTATTGCTTGATATCCATTTGCCGTAAATTTGACGATTTCAAAATATATTAAATAATTTGATTTTATAACTGTAGAATGTGATGAGAAGTCATTGAAATGAGTAATCTTTGTCCATATTCGACTTCTAATATATCATGAATAATTAAGAATAGATATGAATAGTGATGTATACAAGCAGTATATGCAGAAGACTTTGAATCATGAAATAAAGACAAATACTAAGAATTAAGAATAATCATTCAGAGAGAAGTAAAGGGTAAACGGGAAGTAACCGAAACGTCTATGTTCAGATGACAAGTACAAACCCAATTTACTCTTAGAGAAACAAATGCTTTATCGTAGGGCAGGACAGGCTAAATTTGAAGCTAAAATTAAAGATCACTATCAGGTGACTAAACCTCACCAGGTTAACTAGTTCACTAGTTACTAGCCAGTTCTAAGCCCGAATATAGAGAGAAAGTTGGGCATAGGGCTAGCAGCCCTACTCCTTAAAACCAATCCAGTCGCTAAAGAAACTTCAGATAACAAACAAAATATAAAAAATAAAAACAAAGTTATTCCTCGCTTGAATCGTGGAGACGAAATGATGCCGGTTGGTGAAAAACTTCAGGAGGCCAGTCGTCTGATGTTTCTCCTCTCGATGGAAGTGTAAGGATAGGGACATAGAAAGGTCCACATCATGTAAGAACCTAACAAGGCTGTCCACATTG